GGAAGAATGTGCAAATTGTCACTTGTTTTAATTCTTTCCCATGAAACTCTTGGGTGGCTTCTAACCTGGATCTCTCCTGTTTCAGTTTAAGGCTGTTTCCTCTCTTGTCCTCAAGGAACCAGAACAGGTGTCTCCCTTCCACTGGGCATGGCTGGCCCTTCGGCATCCACCTATTGAAAGACTTTTGGGTCCAGTTGCTAGTAGTTTTACAACTAAGGCTCTAATGAACATTGTTGTGCATGTGCCCTTGCACACATGTCTCAGAGGAGCAGAATTGCTGGGTCAGGCACATGCTCCCTGCTCCCATAGCCTCCGATCCAGGTTTGCACCAAAGCACACTCTATACCAGTGATGGCGAACCTATGACACGCGTGTCAGAGGTGACACGCGAACTCCTTTTTTTGGTTGATTTTTCTTTGTTAAATGGCATTTAAATATATAAAATAAATATCAAAAATATAAGTCTTTGTTTTACTATGGTTGCAAATATCAAAAAATTTCTATATGTGACACGGCACCAGAGTTAAGTTAGGGTTTTGCAAAATGCTGACACGCCGAGCTCAAAAGGTTCGCCATCACTGACCTAGCCCTGCAACTCCATTCCCTTCTTCGTCCCAACTTCCACGATCCACCCAACCCTAACTCCATCCCCATCGCCACTTCCGGCCTCATTCCCCACCTTCATCTTACCTCCATCTCTCACCCGGCCTCCCCTCCCCCCTCCCCTGGCAGGTCCACCTGTCCATCGCGCTCGCCCTGAGGGCAGCCAAGACCTTGTCCGGAGACACGGACTGCCACGTCTTCCCCTTCTCCCACTTCGGCAAGAGCTTCATCAAGCGCTGCCACCTGTCCTCAGACAGCTTCATCCAGGTGGCCTTGCAGCTGGCCCACTTCCGGGTCAGTGAGGTCCCCTGACCCCACCCCCTCTCAGGAACTCGGTTCCCTGGTCCCCCAAGACCTGCCACGGCAGCCCCTTTCATGACTCTTCTTGGCTATTGTGGGTCCACTATCTTTTTCCCCCCAGAGCTAGTTTTTTTTCTTCAATATTTTTATTTTTTTAATTTTTTAAATATTTTATTGATTTTTTATAGAGAAGAAGGGAGAGGGACAGAGAGTTAGAAACATCGATGAGAGAGATCACAGAGGAATGGGGCCCTGCAAAGCCAGAGTTTGATCTTGGTCTAGGCTGCTGTCTGAAATTCTGAGGCTGGAGTCTAGGCCGCCATTTTTAGATAGCTCTTCAGTGGATTTCTGATGAACAGCTATGTTTGGGAACCAGTCAGCTCGTCGAGCTCCCTGAATTTGTAGATGAGCACACTGAAGCCCACACATCTTAAATTCCTTGCTGGCATCACTCAGAGTCCAGACTAGGTAACATCACAAACAGAGCCAGCACCGTTCTTCCTATCATACTAGATCCATTGGCCAAGGCTTTGAGTTAGGATTATTATTCCCATTTTTCAGACGTGAGAAGTTAGAGCTCAGGAAAGTTACAGAGCCTGGCCAAAGTGATGGTTGGGTCCTAAGTGGCAAAGCCAGGACTGGATGGAATTCAGGGCTCTTGACTCCCAGAGTTCTTTGTCCAGTTGGGCTTATTAATGAATTATCCACTGCCATGGATGTTAATAGAGAAGTTTTCCAGGAGGGAGGGAGATTACAGTATTTATTCATTTGCCCAACATATGTTAAGGTTAAGTGCTTTTGGGGAGAAATCATCAAAGAAGGATGGAACCGGGAAGGCAGCCAGCATCCTCTTGGCCTGTTAGCTGGAATCCACTGGTGAAGGGCTATGCTATGACCTGTTGAAGGAGATAAACCCATTGGAGGGAACAGCAGATTCATGGCTGCATCGGAATCCACTGGTGAAGGGCTATGACCTGTTGAAGGAGGTAAACCCATTGGAGGGAACAGCAGATTCATGGCTGCATTAGATCATCTCTATGGTATCACCTGCTCTCAGATGTTCACATAACCATGAGACAGTCTAAGGAGAAAGTTGGAAGATGACTAGGTTTTTTCAGAAGAAAGACAAGAAAGGAGACACCTGTTGTGAAGATGTGTGATGGTTCTGGAAAAAGGTCTTTTCTCACCATGCCTCACACTTGAAGCAGGGAGTAGGGGTTGCTTGTAGACCCTAAGGTCTCCCATAGATCTGGAGTTGCCCACTGTCCAATGGAGCGCTAAGGTCAGAGCGTCACACTAGGAGAAAATGAGGTTTTCTGAGTGCAAGGATCTGCTGGACACAGGTTCTCATTCATTGAGTAAGGCCGTCAGTACTACCTTTTCTCACCACGCCTCACACTTGAAGCAGGGAGTAGGGGTTGCTTGTAGATCCTAAGGTCTCCCATAGATCTGGAGTTGCCCACTGTCCAATGGAGCGCTAAGGTCAGAGCGTCACACTAGGAGAAAATGAGGTTTTCTGAGTGCAAGGATCTGCTGGACACAGGTTCTCATTCATTGAGTAAGGCCGTCAGTACTATAAAACCAGGGTATGAAGTCTTCAAAGCTCTTTCTCCTGGAGCGTCAGCTCTCAACTCTCCCTCCTTGGCTGGCTTAGTGAGGCTGGGGCAGGGGTAGTGTGTGGACCCCTGCCAATAGCGAAGCCCCTCTGATGATGGCAGAGAGGTTGAGCATGCTCCTATAGACCCAGATGGTAGTCCTGGGTGTGCTATCTGTAAAATGGGACAACTTGTCCATCTCTTCCTATTCCACCAGCCTTTCTCATCTCCAGCTGTCCTCTAGGCGCCTAAGGTGGGAAGGTGTAGCCACACACCTGAAGCAGGATGGGACTTCTCCAGGCTCTGACAGCCCTCCCCAAACGAGACTGGGACTCTCTGCTCTGCCTCTGTGTCTCCCCCACTTCTCTCTGGAAAAGCTTGATCTTCCGTATATAATCGGTGTCGACTATTTCCTGGGAATCTGTGTAGAGAACAGCCAATGCTTACTAATCCCCAGGGGACAACCTCTGCACGGGCCTTGAGGGGGGTGTCCCTCTCCGTCATCTCCAAGCCCGAAGCCTTTTCCAGCTATGTGACTTGGCTCACTAAGAACTTTTTTTTGGAGTAACCTTTGCACTGTAGCCCACGGAGCTGCATACATAAGTGGTTACTTAATAAATATTATTCTGACCCTAATTCTCTTAGGCAGAAAAAATGCAACTTGATGTTTTTGTGTTGAGAGCAAATTCCATCTCTAGCTGGAGTTCTGCATCTGGAATGTTTTCCTGAGGACGGCTTCTGTCACCTGTGCGAGTGCATGGGAAGAACTTGGTGATGTGCGGTAACGGCCTTGTCTGACTGAGTGTGGGAGGCGGTGTGGGCACTCCCTCCCTCAGGGTGGCAGGGAGAGGGGATGGAAGCAGCTCAGAGCTAGCCTCAGTGCACTGTAAATGCACGCAGCATCTCGGAAGCCTCCTGGCCACCCACTGGAGATGGCTGCTGTTTGCATTTTACTGATGAGCGACAGAGGCACAGAGAGCTTAAGCAACTTACCTGGGGCTGCACAGCTAAGTGGTGAAACAGGGACTCAGGTGATTAGAGTTGGAAGTCTGAATTCTTGAACCTCTTTGGCTGGGGATAGTAACAGTCAAGGAATGAGGCTTTCCCAGCCCACAGTGCTTTCTGGTCTCCACCCAGTCAGTTAGTTTATTCCCCTTCCCAGGGCTTTATTTCAAATGTGGAGTGTCAGCATGTGCGGCAGCAAACCAGGCCCGTGCATGCCCTCATCTGATTGGCATGTTCGTTGGCAGGGGTGAGATCAATACAGGAATGGGAGGAAACATGCCTTTGAATCCAGGTGGCCTCTGTGCGGGTGGACAAGCTGATCTTCACCTCAGAGAGGTGGGGGCATCTCGGGACAGCTCCTCCGGGAAGAAGCCTGTCCGAGAGACCCCATCTTCTGTACCTGGATCCGAGCTTCCTTACTGACTTTTGTGGGCCTGAGACATTTTTGCCTTTGGGGGCCCCTTCCTCCATAAGAAATACTCTAAAATCATATTTTATAACTGTGTCTTATGGCTACAAACGTGTCAGTGTTGTATATGAAGACATTTGCTTGGAACTAAAAGCTTATTTTTCCTTCTGATTTTAAAAGATATCGAAACACTCGCTAGACCTCTGGGCACTGTGCCTGCTGTGCCTAATGAATGAGCCAGCCCTGCCTAGAGACTGCAGCACACACACTCATCCGGGTGCCTCTCTTCATCAAACTTGTTTCCAGGCTCACGGAGGGCCTGGCCTTGTCCTGAGCGCTGACCCCTAGGACTTGTCGTCTGAGGGATGCATCTTTGGCCCTGTCAGTGGTTCGAGCACCAGAGCTGGGCACACAATAGGAGCTTTTCTCTGTTGTTGACTGATGGGCAGTTTAAGAAAGTCGAAAGAGACTTAATGGATGTTCCTTGGACAAATGTCAGGATGTGATAAGGTGAAACGTCAAAGTTGAGCAGGTCATCGTTCCTGTTCTTGGGGCTCCTGGTGTAATGGGGAACAAATCAGGGTACTGAGGTATGACTGTAGCAGCCTCAGGGGACCAACAGGAGGGGCAAACAGGCAAAGGAAGAGTCACAGCAGGGGGTGTTGGCAACTGTAAGTTCTGGTAGTGATGATTCCAACTCCATGTTTTAAAATTTCACCCAATCCGTGCCCTTTCAGACCACAAATGATGAATTCCCTTATGGGTTAGTGACAGGTGACTCTGGGAGGTCTTTCTACTGGAGAATGATGGACCCCAGGAGGGATTCAAACCCCTTCCACGGTGAGGGCCTTGAAGACACAGTCATCCTTCTGTGCTCCACCTCCCAGGATGGAGGCAGAACAGAGCAGGCGTTTAAGGGAGGTGCTCATAGGGCCCACCTAAGAGTTGCTGTGAAGCGGAAATGGATCATCCATGAAGTCATTCAGCACAATTGCTTAGCTGTTAGTTCCCTTCGTCTCCCTTATTGTCAGAGCTCCAGACAGTCCCTGGAGGGCCCATCTCTCTGGAACTTCTTTGCTTCTCTGCAGATGATGACCACCCTGAGGTTGAGGACGGAACCATCGTGGGAGGTGGAGGCAGCGCCGGCCGGAAGGCCTTCACCTCGGGCATGAAGGAGATGGCTGTGCTTCGGGAGAAGGCCAACGACCAGCATCGCCAAATGGGCAAGGGTGGCAAGCACCCACCCGGCCCGGAGGACTCCAAGAAGCTCCGGCCCCCATCTCCCAGGGTCAGAGGGGGTCGGGTCTAATTGGAGGGGTGGGAGGACATGTAGAGGGAGTCTCACAGTGGGGAGGGCACCCCAATAAGATCCGTGTTCTGTGTTGTCAGCAGGCAAACAGGACTTCCCTGTTCTTCCCTTAACACATTGAGTGACTTTGAGGGCAAACAGCAGGTCAGCATCTCTTTTGAGGGGCCTTAGTGTCTTTGGCTGTGAAATGGACGGGGCCTATGCTTTCTTGAAATCCCTTCCTTCTGAAACCTCCACATCTCTGCATGGCTTTGGAACATAGGCAGGAACATGGATGCTAGAAGTGGCGATGGAGCCACCTGAGCTTGCTCACTCGTATTGCGATGTGCTCCCCTCCCTCAGCTTCACCTCCTCCTCTCTCCAGCCCAGCTCTGCCGTCTTGGGTCTTGGCCCCCGATGGTTTACGGAAAGGAATGGAGCTTGGGCCATTCCTACTGGGCTAGGGTAGATGGATCCAGAGATAACCACCTGAATTAAGTCTTTGCAAGTAGATTCCATCTTGACCCCTGAGAGCCACTGATGCAGATGGAGGAGAGGAGTGAAAGCTCACAGCCATGCGACTTTCTTTCAGGGGTGGATGGGGCACACGATATGGTAGTGAGCTCACTGGGCCGGGGGCCAGAAGTCCCTCGTTACACCAACTACCCATGTGGCCTTGGGGAAGTCTCTTCCCATGCATGAGCTTCTTTCTGGGGTCGCTCCCAGGGCCATCTCTAAGCCTCCTCTGTGCCCACTTGCACCCACAGACCCCCTGCCAGCAGGAACTGGACCAAGTCCTGGAGCGTATTTCCACCATGCGCCTTCCGGATGAGCGGGGCCCTCTGGAGCACCTCTATTCCCTGCACATCCCCAACTGTGACAAGAACGGCCTGTACAACCTCAAACAGGTGAGAAAGGATCTCCCCAAGCCTCTGATGTGCCTCGGTCCTGCCCCACGCACCTGGAACCCTCTGAGGTCTGAGAGCTGAGCTCCCGAGAGCCAGGCCTCCCTCCCTGGCCTCCAGCCTGGCAGAGGCTGATTCCACTTACCAGCTACCCGCCAGCAGCGCTCGGTGTCCAGGTTGGGAGGGAGCCTCTTGGAGAAGAGAGGTGGCTTGCACAGTGCTTCTCAGCCTTGATTGAGCATTCCTTACCTGGTGGTCATTCCCAGGCAGACACCCAGAGACCGCCATTCAGAAGGTTGGGTGGGGACCAAGAGTTTGCATTTCTAGCAAGGTGCTAGGGCCTGCTGATGGCGCATAGACCACACTTCCAGAATCGTCGATTTAAACCGCTGACCAAGTAGCCTCTCTGATTGTTAAGGATCTCAGGGATGGAGGATCAGGATTGAGAAACGCCACTCAAAATATTTCTAAAAACCAGGAATTAGAGAACATTGGGCAAGTGTAAGTGAACCACCGGAAACCTTCTCCTCGCCTCCCGCTTCGTTCCGGTGGCTTCTGATCACCCATGTGCACAGCATTTCCCCTGGACATTGTCATTGTTGTTCACATAGCACATAGAGTCTGTAGTGATGACTGTTAGTGGCTGTTCAATATTTGTCACTTGCCTTTTTTCCAGTCCACTCCTTTCCTCCTCCAACTCATCGCCTGGATGGGGAGAACCAGCACATAGATGTGCCTTTCACTCCAGAGAGAAGGCATGGGAGGGGTGGTTGGGAGAAAGGGGTGAGGAGTGTGGACATCCTGTTTTCAAGCAGTGGCAGCTTTGAGCCCTGGCTGCACACCCAGACCTGCTGGGCAGCTTTAAAAACACCGGTGCCTGGGCCACACCTCCAGAGTTTCAGATTTTGTGAGTCTGGGTAGTTGCTGGGCACTGGGATTTTCAAAAGGTCCCCTGGTGATCCTAGTGGGCAGTCAGGACTGAGGGTGAGGTGGATGTGCAGAGCCAGGAGATGGGGTGCGGGGTTCTGCTGATCCTGAGTGGGGGTGTCTCACTTCCCCACCTCCTTCACAGGGCAGGCACCTTGCCCCTCTCAGTGTCACTAGCGTTTACCGCTATTTGTGCAGGTGCCCTCTGAACGTAAGCCAGCCACCTCATGGGGAGCTCAAGAAGAAATAGTGATTTCCTCTAAGCAAACAAACACACAGGCAGTGTGGGTAACTAAAAGGGTTTGTAAGAGTCATTCATTTATGGCTAGAGCAGGGACCCCAGGGAGAATGCTAGGGTGGGTATGTCAGCGATGGCTCTTACTAGCTGTGCGGTGTTGGGCAAGTTCCTTCCCCCGCCTGTGCCCCTGTATCATCATCTATACAGTGGCTAGCGTTTACCGCTATTTGTGCAGGTGCCCTCTGAATGTAAGCCAGCTACCTCATGGGGAGCTCAAGAAGAAATAGTGATCTCTTCTAAGCAAACAGACACACAGGCAGTGTGGGTAACTAAAAGGGTTTGTAAGAGTCATTCGTTTATGGCTAGAGCAGGGACCCCAGGGAGAATGCTAGGGTGGGTATGTCAGCGATGGCTCTTACTAGCTGTGCGGTGTTGGGCAAGTTCCTTACCCCGCCTGTGCCCCTGTATCATCATCTATACAGTGGTGACATACAGAGCACTCACACGGTGGCTGTGAGAACTACATGAATATACGTGTTAGATATAAATTGTAACGAGCAGCATATAGATTGCTGACATGGTGCCTGGCGCCTGGGAACACCTGTGCTACTGTTGCCTTTGACCATTTACAAGCATCTTCATCTCACACTGATTAAACTCCATACTGGACCCCCAAGGAAGGACCTCCCTGCCGCTGGGGGCTGAGTCCTTTCACCACTGAGTGTCCCCAGCAGCCTTGCACATCCAGTGCAGTGCCAGGGCCAGCAGCTTTAGTGTTAGCTGTGCCCAACGTGAGGCTCACCCCTGCCCCCCTGAACAGGAAGCTGCATTTTAGCAAGTTCCCCTGGCGCACAGTGAAGCGGAGACACACCACCCTGCAGCCCGGCTCAGCGCACAGGCTTGAGCGACATAATGAAAGCTGGCAGCTGCAGGGTGTCCTCCATGGCCTCTTCTCTCTCTTCAGTGCAAGATGGCTGTGAATGGGCAGCGTGGGGAGTGCTGGTGCGTGAACCCCAACACCGGGAAGCTGCTTCAGGGATCCCCTACAGTCCGTGGGGACCCGGAGTGTCATCGCTACTACAATGAACGGATGCAGTAAACCAGCCGGTGCCTGGCACCCCCTGCCCTCTCTCCGAACACAGGCAGAGAGAATGCTTGGGTGGTGGGTGGGGGAAGGCTTCCCAGGAGTTTAACACATGTATTTATACTGGGAAAGAGACCAGCACCGAGCCTGACACACCCGCTGCCTTGCCCCTCCCAGTAGGAGAGGCTGCAGCCCCTTCTCAAGTCCCTGCTGGGAGGAAGGGGTGCTGCAGAGGCAGAGCTGGGGTCCAGGTTTGGGAGGGGGAAGAAGAAATTTTTATTTTTGAACCCCTGAGTCTCTTTTACTTAAGAATAAAGAAAGGAAAAATAAATTGTGTGTCTTTTGCCTGAGTCTTTGGGGCCCCCGACTTCTGGGGAAGTGGGGAAGGCCCAGCTCGGTTTCCCATCATGAAACTGAAAGGAGAAGGAAGGGGCAGGAGGAAGGCAGATCTCCCTCCAATGGTCTCGGCCTGTGGGAATTCAAGGTGTGGAGCCCTCACTTGTAACCCCAGGACCCAGTGTCTGCCTGGACCCCCAGCTGAGTCCCTGGCCCCCCACCTCCCCTGGGGTGGGCACTGGGGGAGGAGAGGCGGAGCAGGCGTCTGTCTTCCTCACGCACATTCAGATGACACACCAAAGAGAGAAACACTGGAACTGGGGGCCTCTGGCCCCTCACATGAGAGCTCCCTTTTGTGAGGGGAGATGTCCGTTCAGCCCCCAGGGACGGAGTGGGCTGCTGTGGGCCAGTGCATTCACAGATGCGCTGCCTCCGAATCCAGGCCCGTGTCACTGGACCCAGAACAGCAAATATTAAAGAGCCCAGAAGACCGAGGCACCCCCTTTCTGAAGCAGAATTCCATGCAGGAGCTCTACACACTTTGTTCTATTGGGCTCAACCCCTGGGTAATTACAGGGGCCTGCTGACTGCAGTGGGCCATGGGGGAAGGCAGACACTGCCCAACCCTCCTCCCTCCCCCAGCACGTGGTACAGAGCCCATTTCCATGTGACCCCTCTTCTGGGTCAGGGTTTGAGTCCTTCCTGCCACAGGAGGTGACGGGCAGCTCCGGAGAGGCAGAGGACACCCGGGCCTTACCTGGGTGAGATGAGAAGAAGAAAACCAGGTCCCCCAAAGCGACACATCCCTGCCCACCTTTGGTCTCTTAGCTAGTGGCTGGCCACCCGGGAAGTACATTCATTCAATTAATCTTCATGAATCCACAAATGAGGTGCTATTACTAGCTCCACTTTATAGGTGAGGAAAAGGTCCCGAGCGGTGTCCAAACTCCAGCCCCAGACCTGGAAGTCCCTGACTCGAGAGTGTGCATGCTGCTCAGCCTGGAGTTAAACAGCCCCCTGTGGGATAATTGGGGGGCCTGCAGTGCTTTGGGCCCCTGGTTGGATCTTGGGGTCTGGTTTTCTTTTATCCACTGCTGGGTGCTGGCCACCCCTCTCCTGTCCCCTTAGCTACAGTCAGCAGCTCCTGGCTGCTGTCTTGGGGTTGGGCACCCCTTGTTGGCTCTCTGGGGAAGTGCAGCGCTTAACTTTGACTAACATTTGAATGACAGGGTGCCTCACATCAAAGATTTTGATCTGATTGGTCTGAAGTGAAGCCCAGGCAGGTGTTTTATTTTTTAAAGGTTTCCTGGATGACTCTAATGCATAGCCAGGGATGAGGCAAGAAAAATGCTGGCGTCAGGAGGCCTGGGTTTGAATCCAGTCGCATTGCTTATTATGCCACTGCTCCAGAGCTATGTCACTTGCCTTCTCTGAGCCTCAGTTTTCTTCATCTCTCTAATGGGGACGATTTCCACCTCAAATAACAGGGTGGAATCAATGTGAGATGGCAGATGTGAACGTGCTTTGAAAACTATAGAACTGTATGAAACGGGAGGGATATCATGGGATTATTGCTGGGGTCAGCCCTCGTGCCCCATGGTTGCCAGCTTGCTTGGGTCATTTCTGGAACACTTTTGTGAAATGCTCCTGAGGATGCCACAGTCTTCTGCCCAGTTCCATGTCACTTGCCACAGTTTCCTTGTTTGTGCTCTAAGCCCTCTGAAGGGGTGGATTTAGGGGTGGGGTGGGCTGTGGGTAGGGGTGAGCAGCACCACCACTGTGGCTGTAGCTACCAGAACCACACTGATGTATAAATGACCTAGAAACCTTTGCGGAGGGAAGGCACAATTGCACCCATGTATGAAGATGGTTGGCTGGGCAGGGATCTTGGAGATGTCAAGCTATTGCTCACCTTCCAGAACCAGCCTCCTTAAAGTTTAAAAACTTGGCAGTTGAGAGACACTGGGGTTATACTGTCACCGTGTGGTAGAACAGGAAACTGCAGCTGACTTTACAGGGCCTCCAAGTGTATTTTGCTTAAGAGGTGGTCCCAGGAGTCCACAATGAGTTAACTGGGAATGCTTGTTACACTTGGGGGATTACAGAACTTATTCCAGAGCTAGAACCTTAGGAGGGGATCTGGCAATAAGCATTAAAACATGCCTCTTGGGCTAGTCTAATTTGTAGAATCACCTGATTTCTAGGTGACCTGTTTGTAGAATTCAGGGTAAAATGAAAACACAGAGCCCCTGCTTCAGAAATTATTAAGAATTTCAAGACAGCAGCAGCAGAGCATTAAGCCAAGCACAGGGCCCTGTGTGACTACATAGGTTACATGCCCACAAAGCAGGCCCTGAGCTTGTGCCTCTGAATTTGGAGAATCACCCTGCCGTGACCACATCTGCCAGGTGTGTCTTGAATACTAGCTAGCTGTGATGTGGTAGTTGAGAGCAAGGGCTTGGAGGGGAGACAGCCGTTGAGCAGAATTTGGACTCTCCTACTTATGGCTTATGTGACTGTGGACACCCTTCTGACCTCTGGACTTCATTTATTTCATCGTTAAGTAAGCTTACAGGATGCGCTCAATTTGGGCATGTTGAATTCAAGCTGCCTGGGGGATTTTGGGTGGAGAAGACACCCTTGACTTTCCTGCATCCTCATCTCAACATCCAATTCATGAACAAGTCCCATTGATTCTAGCTCCAAGACATTGTTCATATCCACCCTCATCTCGCCCCCTCCTCTGTCACCTGTTGAGGAAGAGAGGGGATGGTTGATGGAGGAGGTGGAGGAGCAGCAGGCAGGGGCGGGGAGCAAAGGAAGGGGGCTGTCCTTGGAAACAGGGGGACTGGTTGGGGAGGGAGGAAGCGCATCATGGTGCTTTTGTGGCTAACTCTGTAGGATTTGAGATGGGAAGATGAGGATGGTCTCATAAGTGGTGTTGGTTTTCTCTGACAGGGAGAAGGCAGTATGGGGAGAAGCGTGCCAGAGTGCTTACACCTGAGGGGAACGTGGGAGGGAGACAACTCAGGTAGGAGTCCCTAATAGTTCCCCAGGCAGGACTGGAAGCTCACAGGATGGTGGGACTTTCTCCCTCAGGGCTCAGCAGGGCTGTGCAGGAGTGATGAGATTGCCTGGTGAGGTTTCTCCAGGGCAGCCGAAACCCCCCATAAGTGGAAGCTGTCAGTGGAACCACAGGCTCCAGGGTCCTCAGAGAAGGAAGCAGAGCCAGATGGTCGATGGATCAAACAAACAAATAAACAAACAAACAAAACCACAGACCAGAGATTCCATTGTCCCTTAAGTAAAATGCTAACACTGCCTCCTTGCCCCCCACCACCCATTCCTCTCACCGTAATAGTAGAGTATGATTGGAATGGGAGGGTGGGCTTTTCAGATTTTCCATGTGGAACACTTTAGGTGTCGAGGCTCAGAGTGTGGTTTCAGTGGATGGAGGGGAGACCTGGTAGAGTTGAGGAGTGAAATAGAACCATGTTTCTAGAAATGTTCTATTATAGACACGAGACTCCAGCCCAATCTTACTGGATCATAGGACCCCAGGTGGATGTGTGATCACTAAGGTGCTGTGTGGGTTGTCCAGGGTGGGGGTGGGAGAAGGGGTGGCAGCTGGGAGCCAGAACTCTAGGAGTTCCTAGATGAGGGTGTAAGGGGAGGGAAGTGGGTGGGGGCGGACACAGCAATTGAAGAAGAGTCCTGCCCACGCCTCCTTCAGGCAGAATGTGGGTGACAGCAGGGTGAGCAGCTGCTGGTGAAGAGGCCAGGAGACAGTCCCAGGGCAAGTCCTGTGGGGTGACCCAGGCCTTCCTGCACCCTACTCTTCCTGTCACCCCATGGGTCAACACCCATGCAAAGGAAAGTGGGCCAGGCACCAGCTCCTCTCTGCCTCCCAGCCCAGCTTTCACACTCTCACCTTTGCCTTCACTGCTGGGCCTTGGCTGAAGACTGCACGTTTGCAAAGCTGTGTGTGGGTGGAGAGGTCTCAGGGACACAGCGACCCTTGGGAAGGTGTGGGCCCAATGACCAGCAAACCCCCTGGTCGGGCAGGGGCACTCCCAGTTAGTTCACTTGACTTGTGATTCGCAAGGGGCAGAGCACAGGGTTCAGGTGGAGTGGAGAGGCCCCTGTAGGGGGCGGTCAGGGACACCCACAGAAGTGTGCTGCTATGGGCTCCACAAAGGAAGAGGGCACCTGGGGCTGGGAGAAGAGCCGAGAGGAGAGGGGTCTAGGGGGAACTGCAGCAGGACAGGTGGAAACGATGCTCTTTAAACCCCTGAGAGGCTGAAATCAGTCACCAGCCATTTCATAGCTTCTCTCTCCACTGGGCAGAAACAGCAGTGGGCTGGGTAGGAGCAGGAGGTGGGATTTGCCTTGGCCAGAAGTTCCCAGGAGTAAGTGACTAAGGAACATTCGAGAAATGCCTCCCTTAAAATCCTCTCCAAAGAGAAGAGACTCATCATTTGCTTAAGGATAGATTAAGGTCACTTTATTTAATAGCAGGGGCTGAGATTAAATAATAAGAATATCATAGTAATAGCAGTAGCTGAACATGCATTGATATTTGGTATGCATGAACTCATTGAGACAGATTTGAAGGGATGGAGAAGGGGGCCCCCAAGTTCTAGATGGGCCTGGGGTCCCCTGGGCCCTGCCTCTGCCTGGTCGTTTGTCCTTCCCTCTGGATGTGGCCCGAGGAGAGTCCTGGGACCCGGAGGAAGCTGACGCAGGCTAACTGAATGCATCACTTTATTAAATAAATGCTTCGTCACGACAAACGACAAAGATCAGGAGTAACATAAATTATAAGATGAATAAATAGTATACAGCAATCTTCACCTTTTTAAGAAAACGTGAGATCCTCTGTTGTTGTTTTTTTTTTCTCATTTTTATTTCCTTAGGTACAAAATGCTAAACAGGAGGCGAGTTCTTCCACATTCAGGCAAATTATTTTTCCTGCAATTTTTTTTTCACCACGAACTGGTTTTGTTTGTTGGTTTGTTTATTCATCCTTTTCACCAGTAAAGATTATGAGCATTTGTTTTCTTAAAAAAAAGTTGAAGACAAAAAATAGGAGAAAATAGAGCTATGGTATGTATGTATGTATGTATCTATGTATGTATGTAAAACTATCAAGAACTACAGTAATATGTGCTGTGGTTACTGCTGTCTAAAAAACAAAACAAAACCAAAAACCAAAAACACAAACCGGTAGGCAACTCGGAATCTGAAGGATCTTGTCTGACAACTGTCTATCCGTGTGGGCTACTGTGTGACGGCGCTGGTGGCGGCAGGTGGGACTCAGGCTGGTGTCCGGGGACCAGAGGAGTGGAGTGAACTCGTCCTCCCACCTCCCCTTCCCCATTCAGAAGGAGCTGAAGAGAGGAGGCCAGAGTCTGTGGAGATGGCTAAGCCATGTACTCCACTAGGAAACCAAGGAAGTATGTTCCAAAAAAGACACAAAAACCTAAGAGAAAAACAAAGTGGAGAAAAGTGCAAAATACGTCTTGCACTTTAGTGGTTTCAAAAATAAAGACAGTACAACGCCCAGGTTGCTGGCAGGTCAAACCTTGTTCCCTTAGTCCCACCACTTCTTAAAATGTAGCCTCCTTTATCTTGGAAGCCACAAAAGTCCTCTCTGAGAGCAGAGGGTCCTGCCTCTCCTTGGCCCACTCCTCTCTGAACCCCCATGCTGAGCTGGAGCCCTCTGGGGGCTGAGCCCATGGACAGGGAGATCATTGCCTCCTCGTGAGGGGGCCTGGCGGTTGCCATGGCAGCTGGGTGGCTGCTAGAGAGTTAGGTGGTGGAAGAAGGGAGCACGTGGTGTACATGGCCCACCTCTCCCAGACCCCAGAGGAGGCTGACCCTGCAGGGGTACAGTGGAGACCACCAAAGTGGTTATGGGGATATGGGCGAGGGGAGAAGCGGTGGGACCCCACAGCCTCCGGGTCTCCCTTCCTCCCCGGGTGAAGGTTGAAGTCTCCGGGCCTGTCCAGGCCTGGCTGTCTGAGAAACTTCCTCCCCAGATGCCCTGCCTTGCCAGGGTGGGGAGGGCTCTGGGGGAAAAAGGATCAGTCCTGGCTAGGCCTCCCTCCATCACTGGGACATCAGGTATGGTCTACACTGCTGGAGTGAGGCAGGAGTCAAAAGGGAGCTGGGATGAGACCTCCTGTTGGGGAAGGTCAACACTTAGACTTGAGGCCATTGAGAAGCTGGAGCTTCAGGCTGCCAGGAGAGCAGTCAGAGGCCAGTAGGCAGCCTGGGATCAAGGAGAAGCCTGCGGCGGGCAGCGCTCCACACCTGCCTCCCCTCCCACATGCAGGGGGACTGCTCTATCATTCCCAGTGATTTTCTCCCGTGGTCTCTCCTTACTGGGCTCAGGCCGGACCTCCCCTGGGAGAGGCTAAGTTCCATCCATCAAGAAGGTCCAGGGTCCTCTAGGGATTGACCAGCTGACTAGGATCACTCCCTGCAAACACTGGGGACTCACAGGTGTGTAGTCGTCATGAATGTTAGAGACCTGAAGAGACTGGTGGAGTTGAGCCAGGCCATCGTCCCCACCTTGGGCTGACAGCAAAGAGCTGATGTCAGGAGCCCATTCAAAGTCCAGTAAACAGTGGTGGGGGGCGGTGCAAGGGGAGAGCCCCTCTCAGGAACCAGGTCCAGGCCTAGGGAGGGGTGGGAGTATGGGCATGCAGTTCCTGGCTCAGTCTTTTCTTAGGGGGAATGGCACCCCAGTATCCACTTGGCAGAACCCAGTTAGATGACTGCTCAAGATCCAAAGGAAGGATGGGCAGAAAGAAGAGGGAGGTGGGGAAAGTTCAGGATACTGGCCTAAGGCATAGAAATGTGAATTGGGGGTTTGGGGACAGTGGCACAGGGAGATGGGGTACGCTGACACAGCAGGTCAAGTAAGTCCTTGCGGCTGCCATTCCCGTCAGGCCCTTCGTCCTATGAAGATCGACCATCTCTCCCACCTCCAGCCAACTGTCCTGTCCAGGGGAGCAGGAGACATCCCCCACGTGGCACAGCTGCAAGTTTTCCGCTAGCTGGACCAGATTGGCTTCTTTGCTGTCCCTCTTCATTGCCCCACGTTCGATGTTGGAGTGTCTCCACGGTGTCATGCCATCGGGAAAGAGTGGAGAGGGCTGTGCTCACAGTGAGAAAGGGTGTCCTTGCCATTGTCCAAGCCCCCTTTCCTGGCAGGCTAGCTCCAGCCTCAGGGGACAGCCCCCAGACCACCCACTTGTTGGGGAAGTCAGTGGAGAATGGGAGTGTCCTCGGTTCAGAATGTGTCTGCCAAGCGACAGCACCCCAAGCATTCATTCCCTGGCTGTCCTAGGCCTTTTTCTTCCATCCTCACCCCAGGGAGGGAAGCTGAACTGGCCAGAGTGAATGAAAACCCTCTGGCCTCAGTGCCTCACTGCTGGGTGAAGATGGGCATCTGAGCACAAAGTCTTGTCCCTTCAAAACATGGCCAGTCTCTACTGCTCCTTGCTGTGGTCTAGCTGCTACGTCTAGAACCCTAAGGTTACCCACCCTCCCTGGCTCTAAGGCTGAGAGCTCATTTCTCATTTGTAACCTGTACCCCATCTTCCTCTCTCCTTCCTCTTGAATCCCAGAGGGCTTATCGGGTGGGGAGCCAAGGAAGTTTCTCTGGCTTTGTCTCCTTTTCAGTTGCTTTGTTTCAAAGCTAGAATGGGGCCATCAGCCCCTTTCCCTTCACTCGACCTATCTGGCCTGAACAATCACTTTACAAGCTTCCTTGTATTGAAACGTGTTCACCTCTACCTCCCTCTTTGCCATCTCTCATTTCCATCTCTCTCCCTCTCTGCCAGTGTGAAGAGTGAGAGAGGCTTTCAAAATGCAGGCTCCGCCCAGATGAAATGGAAAGGCCTGGTGGGACCAGTAGGTCAAACTTGGGCCTGTTGGGCTCGCTCAGTGTGCGGTTGGAGATGGTTACTTCTGGAGGGCCTGAGGAGCGTGGTGGGTGCACACAGAGAGCTCTCATCCACCTGGCTGGGTGGTACGTGTGAAGACGTGTGCACGTGGGAAATCATGAAAAAAATCCAACACTGTGTCCCACAAAAGGTTGAGTTTGCTGCTCATGGGAGGCAGGCAAGACTGGTGTTATGGGTCGTGTTAGAAGAATATGAGTTGTCTTGGTTTTCCCAGAATGAGGAAGCTCCTCAATGCCCCCATAGAAACTACGTTGAAAAGTTAATAATGCAAATTTTTGAAAGAAAGGAAGGAAGGAAAAAAAAAACAAGAAAGAAAGTAGATTTATATGCCTATATGTGACTACATGGAGCCTTGTAGATAAATACAAGCCCACTTTTTTTTTTTTTCAGCCTATCCTCCCCCACAGAGACTGTGCCAGTTGTGAATCAAATTCATTGAGGGGCTGAAACCACATGCTTCAGCTCGGAGTTCTGGTCAACTGGGAGGAACAAGTCTTCCCACTGTTGAGTGTGTATTAATTTCCAAAAGTTTGCACAGGGAAATGTGCACACATATGTAATACTTATGTATCTGCTTAGGAAAAATCTATCTATCTAATATCACTCGGTTGTTAATTTGTTTTGTTTTGAGGGGAGTGGAATGCCTTTTAGCTTTTATAAATTTGGGGGGAGAGAACATCTAGGGGGGCCAGTAGAGGAAGGAGGGTTCGAGCCGCCCACATTGCTGGTTGCAGGAGGAGCTGGACCCGGGAGAGGAGCTGACACCTTTTGTCTTTGCCTTGCTCCCTCTGTGACCAACCAAACTGGGAAGGCTCCAAGTGTGTCATCAAATACTTCTTCTTGGGCCCAAACTCTAGCGCCCAAACGTCTCCCCAGCTTGGGCCAGGGTTGCACACGAAAGGTGGGACCAGCCGTGAGGCCTGGGATCTTTCCTTCCTGCCCACATTCTCCCTTCCTTTCCTAACTCTGTTCAACTTTCCCTCTCTTGCACACATATGCCTTCTTCCCTTCTCTTCCTCTTGTTCTTCCTCTCTTCCCTTCCCTATTCATTCAACTTGCCTCAAAAAGAAAACCATTTAAAAGAGGGGGGGGAATCTCCTTAACTTTTTTCATCTCCATTGTTGCCGTTTTCAAAGTTGAGACCTTGCTAGAGATTCTGAGGTCCTCAGTTTCCTCAATTAGATAGATATATGTATGTTTTCCCCTTAAATGAGATGAAATGAGTGGCGTCCTGGGGTGGAGGGAGGCACTGGCTGGAGTTGGGG